GAAAGAAAAAAAAAAAAAAAAAAAAGCTCTTGGCGTGTCCGCCGCAGTCCTGGGCGTGCGCAGAATAGGCAGCACGCGTTTGCGCCGGCAGCGTGCGGTGCGGGAAGGCTTTGCCAAAGGTAAATCGAGGACGGCGTCGAGGGCGGTGCGGGAGATGTCGCCACCGGCCTCAAAGGGGGCGCCGCCGGCGCGCTCGGCTTTCAGGTCCCCCAGCGTGACGAGGGCCGTGGCGGAGCGGTAGATCTCGGGGGCGGCGACGGCGTGGAGGAAGGCGGGGGCCATGGTGTCGGCGAGGAGGGCGCGGTGGTAGCGCCATGCCGGGCCGTGCTTCAGGTTGATGTGGTGGCGCGGCGCGACGCCGCCGAGGATGGAGATGGAGTAGTCGCTGCGGTCCCATTCGCGGCGGCGCGTGAGGATGTCGCGCGCCTCGCGGTAGTCGGCGAGCAGCAGGTAGGGACGCGAGAAGGGCTTCAGCCAGACTTGGCGCAGCGGCGTCTGGTGGGTGGTCGGGAGGGATTTGAGATAGGCGAACCCCGTTGTCGGGTGGGATATGAGCGCTGGCAGATCCGTCGTCAAGAAGGCCCATGGCGCGCGAGGGATCGAGGGAATTGGCCTCTGGAGGATGTAGAGTGTCAATGGAACGAGGAGAAGGAGAGTGACGACGAGAGGGGTGACAGGCAGCTCCATGTTAATCATGGTCGCGGAAGAGTTGGAGTGTTTGATCTCAACGATTGATCTAAGCTACCTAGGAACGGCAATGAAGGTAGAGTGAAGGAGACGCTGGAAGAATGGCCTTCATGTCAGGACCAAGAGTTACTTTATCCTCACATGTGGGGACTGTCAGCGTCAGCTTACATCGACCTTCCCGGTCTTGACTTGGGCCATCCTTGCCGTCAGCCGGCATCACGTAAATTAGAGGCGTTATTCCGGCCGCCGGACCGCACCTCCTTCGCTTTCATGGTATACTAATGCCAAGTATACTCATGCCAAACTGACTTTGAAAGTTACCTAGAACATGCTCTCAGAGTCAACGAGGGATTTATACTAACTCTGACCACTTCGAACCAACCATCTCCATCCCCTCCCTATGCGTTAGGGAATATTTGGTGAGTTCAAGGCAGCTGTGTTGGAATCCAATAATTAAGATCACAGCGTAGCCAGACGCAGCGGCTCGATAGGGAGGCTTTGGAATATTGTGGGAATCAGAAAACCAGGATTTCGGCTGCCCTCCCCGTTATGCGCATGCATTGATTTTAGTGCTGCCTTGAGGAAGACCTCTTCACCCCGCCAGAACCTTTGCTCTGGTCAAGTTGCTCCCAGTCACTGCAGAGATCTGAAATTCTAAGCACATCTCTGCGTTACTTGCTGCGGATCCTGTTCACCTCTGGTTTTGTCAAGGGATTGCTATTCCGGGTACTGCGCATGGGGTAATCAATTGACGTATGAATTACGAACTCACCAGAAGGGCTTAATTCCAGAGGTCAATCCGCACGGAACGGAAAAGACGAGTATTCAGAGTGTCATCGCCGCTTCTTATGGAATGTCAGCCAGCACCGACATGGTGGGTCAGTCAAGGCATTTCAGTGAACCCTACCTGACAACCCAAGATGCGCACCAAGGCGGCAGCATCAGCTGCGCGTCGATTGAAAGTTGACGGTTGGAACTCTGCGTGGAATTCGTCGCTTCTACAAACATTCGTAGGTGGGCTTCTTCACTGCCAATAAAAGATTTCTGCAAGCTTGCCGTGTGATGCAAAATCATACCTTTCTATACCAACGACGCAAGATCCCTCTGTTTCCGACTATGGTCCAAGTTCAAAGACGTTCTAAGAGTTCCAAGAGAAAGCTTCTTCTTACTCACTTCTATGACGACATCTTATGAAGACTTGCTGAAGGCAGTGAGCTATTGTACTACTATAGCGGGCAGTAGTGTTCTGCGAGATATCGTCAGGCGACAAGCTCCCTAATGAACTCGAGAGTATTACAGACTAGTACAGATACACGAGTGAGACGGACGGTCAAAGAGAACTTACATATCTGGAGGGTAGGTAGTAGGAATCCGCGATACACCACTGGACGAGATGTGCACTGATCGATCAATATCGTAGAACGCGTGGATATACCGGATAGACGGATAGATGGACAGGCAAGGTAGTTAAAGTGTACATTTTCTATAAGTAAGGATTGGATTATGTCAACGCAACTGCCTTAGAAAGTATGTTGTGTTTGTAGAATTTCTTTGGAATAAGTGACTTCTTTACAAACGCCTTGTCACCTTCTAGGTACTGTAACCACGCTACTAACGACTGGTTAGCTTCCTATACACTCTAGAAATGTGTCTGACGCAGCTTCTCCACATCGACATAGTTGAAGGTTGTCAGAAGCGCGAACTCCCATGCTGAGCTGTACGTAGAAGCAGCCCCTGAGAAGGAGGCTGGAAGGCTGCATTGACGTCGGTTCCTGGGTCTCAATAGCCGGCTTGGGTGAATTCAGAAACACAAAAAGGCCACTCCATCAGCATCACTGAACAAGTGACAGGCCTATACTCACGAGCTTGAGGTCAGTCGCAATGTTTACAGTCTCACACTAGAATGAGATTGGCGGATAGCACCCTACGACTCCGAAATCATGTTCACGACCGGGCCGGTTTTACTAATCAAAAATTACATCTCGCTGTACGTGCTATTCTTAGTGCCTTTGACCCACTGGCGGCTGACCTAGTCCCATAACAAATCCTCTAGCTAAAAGAGTGCCTCATGCCGTGTCTTAAGGACATCGTGTCCATCATCTTCTGTTACCTTTGTCTCGCACAACTGGG